AGAGGGGTGGTGGGAGAAAGAGCAAACTACAGAGGAGGACAAGGCAGAATGGAAGGAACTTAGTGGCAGGCAGGCGTATGCGTTAGCATGTGAAGAGAGCTGTAACAAGTGCTGGGAATGCAGCATGGTCTAGTGGACGTGCATGTGTGTGTTCAGTTTTTTTACTCAAGTACAATAAGAGCATTCCTCCAGTGCTCTGGTGTCTTTGGCTATCTTTTAAAAATGCACCAATCAATAAGCAGACCCATCAGTTATCCCAGATCAGCTCAAATATCCAGCTACAAAGCACAGGATGAGAATTCAAGAAAGAGTGGTTCTATCATTGGCTCTGTAAGTGTGAACTTTGGGCAAATCAGTTCATCTCATTTTTGTCATCTTAAATCTGAGGATCAGAACCTGCTCCCCTCACAGGGTTGTTGAGACTTTAGGCGGTTTACCGAAATGACTGACTTGAGTTCCTTTGATGAATTGTCATAGAAGTCCTATTACTTTTATAATGATTACGACTAATACTAAAAAGAACATAAAAACCTCAATAGGGAACCAACCACTGCTCCATGCACTATGATTAAACTAATTACTTGTCATGATCTTGCTATACCACTGATGTGAATAGGAGGTGCAAAAAAGGAATTAGCAGGGGAAGTCATCTATTTAAACCTTCCGTATAGGGACATACAATAAATCCTGTTTCTGCATTGTGTGGATCTAGAATTGATTCCTGGTGTGTCTGGATTGCCATTTTAAATTTAGGGATATACTTTGATATCTTTACTCACATTGAACAGTTCCCGACTGAACAAATAGTCCTATTGACCTCACTAGGATTACCTGGAGACAGGGCTGCCCCAAGCAGCCACCCCCCCCTTGCAAAACAAAAAACAAACAAACAAACAAAAAAGCCGCGATTGCAATCTGCGGCACTTCGGCAGGAGGTCCTTCGCTCCCAGCGGGAGTGAGGGACCCACTGCCGAATTGCCGCCGAAGAGCCGGACATGCTGCCCCTCTCTGGTGTGGCCGCCCCAAGCACCTGCTTGGTAAGCTGGTGCCTGGAGCTGGCCCTGCCTGGAGAGAAAAATAGCTTTTCCCCCACGGGATAGTATCAAAAACTGAGTTAGGGCTGAAAACAGATAAAATAACTTTGTATTCTGAGGTGGTCATCTTCTAGCCAAGGATCTGAAACGAGTTTTTAGACTCAACTTCACAATCATTTCCTTGCAAAGTAGGAAAATATTATTACCCTATAATTCAAAGGGGGATGAATCTGTGGCTTACAAGGCAGTAGAACCCCTGAGTCCTGGCTCCCTGTCCTGGCCACACTGTCAATCAGTTTTGACTTCTGGATCTGCATGCACAATCTTTTGAGTGGCCACATTTTGGTGCACCAAAAACCATGGATGTGCAAGGCTGGAAGCATGAAAAAAAACAACTAAGTAATGCTAAATACAATTGTATTTAATTTATGCTAAATTTTATAGATCACCCGGAAAATCTGGCACTCAGCTCCCACAGTAGTAACCTAAATAGAACAGAACATAATGTTCATTTCAAAACTCTACTTTGTTACATACCATAAGTCTGAAACTTTCAGCCCTTCTTGGTAGACACATTTGAGCAATGAATCTAAAAACTGTGCTTAAAAGATTGTATTCAGCAGTAATTAATGTTTAAAGTGTCTGGATAAACATGCACACCCAACCTACATAAATGCTGATCCCCAAGAGGTTTGTGATTAGTAGTTAGCCTTACTTCCTGCCTAATATATTGGTACCTCTAGCTATTGTAAACGCTACTCTATACCGCTAAGAATTAGTCACAGTGTGAAGATTTCATTTAGCAATTATTTTTCTAGCTGAAATTTTACAGAAAAATAGCATGCTTCTACTTCTGTGGGAAGTTCTCCACATGCCAGATTAAATTCTGAAAATCTCCCACTCTCCTTCTCCTCCTACCCCTGTCCGAAAGGACTATGGTGCACCACTGCTAGTTGAGTGCTCTGGGCCAATAGAACACTGCAATAATTCCAAAGTGTGGTAGATTCCTGGGTCAGCAGTTGTCTGTCTTATGGAACCTACTGCACCATTCCTCAAGGCCACTTCAGATGCATCGGGTTTGCTCAAATACAGCAGGACTTCTATAAGAACAGGTTTTAAAATCTTCACATATTTGGCCTTTGGCCTCCCAAGGACTGCCGTTTGAGTGGGCCATATGAAGCGTGAAGTCCCTGTGCTTATTTTTGATACTTAAAAGGCTCATTTTTGAAATGGGGAATAGAATGAAAGAACCCTTTTAACCTTTAGTGCTCACCCTGAGGAAGCTCAGTCAGATGAGATCCAGATACATGTGATTCTTTCTCTCTCCCCCACTTCTCCCTCTGTGTCCTGGTGTAAGCCCCACCTTCTTCCTCCCGCTTTCTTAAGTCTTAGCTCTGCCTCAGTCACCCTAGTTCCAAAAAAGTGGCCTGAGGCTCTTATTCTCCTCACTTGCCTTATCTCAGCTGCTGTTCACATTGCCACCAGCTGCTGATATATGACACCTCCCTCTGCACCTTACCACCCAGTGGATGTGACTGGAGCTGGTAGCAGAAGAGACAGAGCACATTGAGAGTGCACAGGCAAGGCAGGATAGGAATGGCTCCCACCATGATACTGTACTTGTCCCCACATGCCGGCCGTCAGAAACACTCCCAGCTACAAGCAGTACTGCCTTGTAGTCCTGATGAAACCCAGGGCACTGGCCTTAAGGTGCTGAGCACACTCCACCTGTGTGTGTGAGAGACACTTTTACAGCTCCTGAAGGCAAGATCTTACATGGCTTGTGAGTTCACCAAACCTTTAAAGTGACGGCACTGTAGTATTTTAATGTGTTTCATTTTTTAAAATGCTGAAGGTGGATTTAGTTTGTGTTCAGATGTGAGACAACTATGATTGGCATGAGCCAAGCAAAGTTCAGGTTGCAGCAGTGCAACTTACCCCCAAGTAGCTCTGCCAATGACCACCTATCTTGGCCGACTGTCCTACTTCTGAGCCCCTCTTGGGCAGAGGGTGCTTATGATGAGTTATGAATGGGAACAAATGTCTGCTTTGTAAAATACTATATACAGCAAGTGTAAACAACAAGCTACAAATATCAAGATGCTAGCATACAGACTGACCCTGCTCCCATTGAAGTCAATAACAAAACACCCATTTACTTCAGTGGGGTGACATTGGGCTGCTAGGGGTTGGGTTGACTTTGTAGCAGATCCATACACAGAGTAACTAACTTCAGTGGAGTTCTATGTGGATAGCAGCTGCAACATCCATTCCCCAAATGTTTATATCCTTAGGTTAATATTTTCTAGTCAGCTGCTAAGTATCTCTTCTCAGAGCAAAATGTTGCCCTTGTTGCATATATTTCTGAACTCATTCTTCTCCTAGGCTCCACAGCCTATTATTGCAAATACAGCCAGAGCTGTGTTTATTAAAAGCAGACACCAAGACAGACTTGGGGTGGGGGGGAAATATTTGTAGCGGTCCCCATATCTGTGCACACAAGTACATAAACAATTATTTGCTTGCACTGTTAACCAATTTGTGCATGAAAATATGGGTGTGCGTATGTCACAGATGCTTGTTTCAATACAGTCAAAGTTTTGTTTAATACTGGGCCAAATCCCAAGGTTCTTACTCAGTCTTTACTCAGGCCAAACTCGCATTGACTTGAGGATCTGTGCCGTTTATTTATGTTCTTTTCTATATAAATAACCACACTATATCACACGAGTGTTTTATCAATCTGATAAATTATACCACTTTGATTCCCATGAGACAACACTGCATAGAAATGTAAAATCAGCACCAACTTAATTAATAAATTATACCAGGAACTTCCAAAACATGCATCTTGATCAAGTGTACTGTAAGAGTTAATCCTTCCCACTCTTTTCCTACTAAAATTCCAGCAAGGGACAGTGTTGTGCTTCCTGCCCAGAATTCTCCAAATGCTAACTTCAAACCTCTGGGTTCTCTTACAACTGCGCACTACTGCCTTTCCCTAGCTGTTCTCAGAGTACTGCAACTTCCCTTCGCTTGCTTAACAAACTTAGTAGCCTTTTTAAAGTTAATAAATCTAAGATTTGTGCTAAGTTAGCCCTGCTGTTCAAACTGCCTCAGTAGGTCCTGAGAAGGAATTTGGGCTTGCTAACTGAAAACAAATTGAGAGTCTAGTAGATATAACTGGACATGAAAATAAGCCTTGTAAAAATACTTTAAGGATAATCAATAGTTAAGCATTTCCATATATCGGTTGATGATGTTTGTGGATTGTCTTTAGCCGACTGTATTTGATTAAAAATGGCTACAATTCATGCTCTCTTTTTTCTTTGCAACACGTACAAAAGCAATATCCCCCAAAGCAGGCTTACACTCGGACATGAGATGGGAAACTTATATATTTATAAAAGCCATCTCCCTTTGCTTAAAGCAGGGAGCTGTGCTCATAAGCTGGTACAGTATAACAACATTTGAAACACAGAAGAGACAAGCTTTATCTGGGTATTCAAGAAATATAAAACAGAAATGAACACCAATATTACAGCATTACATTGAAACAAACCACAGTAATTAGATGCTTTGAATTCAAGCCTATATTTTCTTTAGATTTTTCATAAATTATTGATCCACCTTTCTCATTAAAACAGAATGGCATACTCTTGCAGTAAATGGACAAGTGACTACAACATTTATATAATCAAATATACTCTGCATCTGGTAATGAAAACATGTTTGTGTGTAGAATACCCCTTCTGAATTAACATGTCTGCAAAACAGATTTACTAACCGAACCACATTCACTTTCTATTGTCTCTAAACCATGGCTCTCCTCTGCCACATTATCATGCAATCCAATATTTCACACCCATCATATTAAGCAAAATATTTTTCAAGACCCTATATCACCTATTGTGCACTAGAATATTTCGTGACTATAATGAGATGTAAATAAACTGTCTGACTTACCTTATTTTCTCCATTTCTGTCGCAGAGGCCTACAAGAAATCAAATAATAGGAGCAAGTGAATGAAGGAAAACATTCACTCGGCAGATTTATGCATAGTTTAGGCTTTCCAAATGGCTTTTGACAAGTGTCTACAAAGCATCAGAAAACAAACCCCACATCTGCATTAGCAGAAAATAACATGGACAGATTAACTCAGAAATAATGCAGCACGCTGCAGAAACACTGTATACCCAGGAGCCATGGGCAACAGAATGACTCAGTTGTAGCGCTGAGGCAGAAAATGAAAAAGCAAGTAACAGGTTACTGTGCCTATTGGATTTCATAGGAAAAAGTTGAAATGCAGAGCTAGCCTGTGCATGGTAAGCACTATGGAAGGATTCTGCTGGCTGTTGAAATCAAGTGATTTAATCTTACGCTAATTTGAGTTCAATTAATCTGTTTCACAGATATCTTGCCAGATGGAATGGCCACAAGCATAGCATCCTTAGCAGGAGTTTTGGGTAATCAAATTAGTTTTTCCAAGTAATATTCTGTCTTTACAATTAGCAGCTCAGTACATGAAGCCTGTACATTAACCCTTTCATACCTGCTTAGCAAGTTCACTGCTTAGAAATCCTTTAGATCTTTGATTCCCATTTACCATATTTCTAACACAGAATTCTATTAACCCTTTGATTTCTCTTTACCATAGCTGTAGCATAGAACCTGTTTATTAACTCTTTGATTCCTGCTTACCATATCTGTAGCCTTGAACCATATAAAGGTGTGATTCATGCTTACTACATCAGTAGCCTATAATTTAATTAGCCCTTTTAATTTCTCTTTACAATATAGATGCTCTAGGACAGTGTTAACCCTTTGACTCCTGCTTATTCATAGCATACAATCTCATTAACCTTCCTGATTTCTTTTATATCAATAGCATAGAATGTTATTAGCCCTTTGGTTTCCTAATCATCATTATCTAGCAGGGCCGGCTCTGGCTTTTTTGCCGCCCCAGGCAAAAAAGCCTCCGGCCGCCCCCGCCCCCCCAGCGCGGCAGGGGAGGGCGGCCGGAGCCCCGGAGGGAGGGCAGTGAGCTCTGGCCGGGGCTCCGCTCTCCCCGGCGGCCGGGGGGAGGGCGCCAGGAGCCCTGGGAAGAGGGCGGAGTGCCCGGCCGGGTCTCCGCTCTCCCCGGCGGCCAGAGCGCCGGGGGGAGGGCGGCGAGCCCTGGTCGGGGCTCCGCTCTCCCCGGCGGCCAGAGCGCCGGGGGGAGGGTGGCGAGCCCCGGTCGGGGCTCCGCTCTCCCCGGCAGCCGGAGCCCTGGGAGGAGGGCGGCGAGCCCGGCCGTGGCCCCGCTCTCCCCAGCGGCCGGACCCGGAGCACCGCGTCGTCCCCCTCCAGGTGCCGCCCCAAGCACAAGCTTGGTGGGCTGGTGCCTGGAGCTGGCCCTGTTATCTAGCATAGACCCTTTGAATCCTACTTGTCATACCAATAGCACTGAACCTCCTTAACCCTTTGGGCTCCTGTTTATTGAAACTAGGGAATGAAAACTCAGAACAATTCTGCAATCCCAAGGTTTTAAGATCAATTTTACTTAAATTTCAGCATCCCGAAATCTCACACTGAAAGCATTACCTATTAATCATGAGTTCTTTAAACATCATTGATTGATTAACCATTGTATTAAATATAAAATAGATAAAAATTAAAAATAGGTAAATGCAAATGTAACTGTTAGATAGCAGGATTTACTTGTCAAAAAGCCAGGAAATATTCAAAGTAGCAAACTGTTGGTTACTCTGTGTTACTTTTCCCCTCCTTCCGCTCATATACTTTTGATTTGCCCATTACATGAAGCCATCAGTCATATACACGGATACATAATAATCTCTGATGAAATGTACAGACGCCCCCCGATTTACACAATTGTTCCATTCCGGAAAGCCTTGCGTAACTCGAATTTTGCGTAAGTCGGAAACATATACCCACGCGTTACGCAAAAATTTCCGCAACTCGAAAATCCTATTTCTGGTTTATGGAACTTTTTCCGTAAGTGCGAGTTTGCGTAAGTCAGGTCTTGCGTAACCTGGGGAGCATCAGTATGAAGAATCATAGCGAATCCAGTGATTCATTCTTGACTATATCCTGGTGTGCAAGATGCCAGCTGCAGGAAAAGCCCTTTCTAGCTACATTCTCATGGATGTAATGCACATAATGCAGTCACAGCATGTTTCCTGGCAGCCCGGGACACTCAGTGGTAAATCCCAGATTGCGAGAGTAAAAAATTACCTTGGGGTCCAGAATTGCTTTTTCTAATCATATCTTATTAATAGCCCCATGTTTTTGCAGTTAGTATGAATTGGGTTGTTTAAGTGGCACTGGTTTAAAGTTTAGCCTCTGGGGTTTTTCTTTGGGTGTGGAATGCTTGTGTATGGGGTGGTGTCTTATGGGATATTACTTGATTTCCCACACCACTACCCTCAAAAAAGACTCTGCAGTCAAGGGAGACTGGACACAGTTCCTTTCAGGGCTATTCAGCGCTGCTGTGAGTGTGAGCTGGAGGGGTCACTGCGTGCCACGAGGGGCTGAACTCATTGCTTCCATGATGCTGCTAGTTTTTGCTGGCATCAAGAGAAAGTAACTGACCTTCAGACACTTGTCTGGTGCTTTGTTTTCTAGTTTTATTCAAGGGGCCGGTTTGTGTAGTTAAAATGAAGGACTGAGAATAAAGAGTTCCGGGCTCTTTTTCTGGCTGTGCTACTGACCTAATGTTGAATTTAGGTGGGAGACTTACTTTGTTGTGTCCCAGTTTCCCTCATCTGTAAAGTGGGAATAATTATATTTAGAACATAAGAGCAGCCATACTGGGTCAGACCAAAGGTCCATCTAGCCCAGTATCCTGTCTTCTGACTGGCCAATGCCAGGTGCCCCAGAGGGAATGAACAGAACAGGTCACGATCAAGTGATTCATCCCCTGTTGCCCATTCCCAGCTTCTGGCTAACAGAGGCTCGGGACACCATCGCTGCCCATCCTGGCTAATAGCCATTGATGGACCTATCCTCCATGAACTTTAATTCTTTTTTGAACCCTGTTATAGTCTTGGCCTTCACAACATCCTCTGGCAAAGAGTTCCACAGACTGACTGTGTGTTGTGTGAAAATATAAATATATATATATATTTAAACCTTCTGCCTATTAATTTCATTTGGTGACCCCGAGTTCTTGTGTTATGAGGAGTAAATAACACTTCCTTATTTACTTTCTCGATACCAGTCATGACTTTATAGACTTCCTTCATATCCTCCCTTACTTGTCTCTTTTCCAAGCTGAAAAGTCCCAGTCTTATTAATCTCTCTTCATACGGAAGTTGTTCCATACCCCTAATAGTTGTTGTTGCCCTTTTCTGAACCTTTTCCAATTCCAATATATCTTTTTTTGAGATGAAGCGACCACATCTGCATGCAGTATTCAAGATGTGGGCATACCATGGATTTATATAGAGGCAATATGATATTTTCTGTCTTATTATCTATCCCTTTCTTAATGAATCCCAACATTCTGTTAGCTTTTTTGACTGCTGCTGTACATTGAGTGGATGTTTTCAGAGAACTATCCACAATGACTCCAAGATCTCTTTCTTGAGTGGTAACAGCTAATTTAGCCCCCATCATTTTATATCTATAGTTGGGATTATGTTTTCCTTTGCATTTATCAACATTGAATTTCATCTGCCATTTTGTTGCCCTGTCTCCCAGTTTTGAGAGAGCCCTTTGTAGCTCTTCGCAGTCTGCCTGGGACTTAATGATCTTGAGAAGTTTTATATCATCTGCAAATTTTGCCACCTCACTGTTTACCCACCTTTTCCAGATCATTTATGAATATGTTGAATAGGACTGGGCCCAGTACAGACTCCTGGGGGACACCACTGTTAACCTCTCACCATTCTGAAAACTGACCATTTATTCCTACCTTTTGTTTCCTATCTTTTAACCAGTCACCAACCCATGAGAGGACCTTCCCACTTCTCCCATGACAGCTTACCTACTATCCCTCATTAGAGTGCCATAAGGCTTAATCTGATACTTTTGTGAGCCACTTTTGAGATGCTCAGATGGAAGGGAACAGAAAAAGCACCAAGTATTTTTTTATTATTAAGATGCATTTCAAATTACATAGTAAACTTTGTGAATTTATGTCATCTCATGTGTTTGTATAATGTCGAGCACAACTGGGCCCCGATGCTGATTTCTGGAGCTCTGGTTGCTACCATATTACTACTGGTAGGAATAGTATCAGAGGGGTAGCCGTGTTAGTGTGGATCTGTAAAAAGCGACAAAGAGTCCTGTGGCACCTTATAGGCTAACAGATGTATTGGAGCATAAGCTTTCGTGGGTGAATACCCACTTTGTCAGACGCATGTGTCTGACGAAGTGGGTATTCACCCATGAAAGCTTATGCTCCAATATGTCTGTTAGTCTATAAGGTGCCACAGGACTCTTTGTTGCTTTTTGGTAGGAATAGTAATCATCGTTTAAATCCAAATTGTTGAAAAGCTTTTATGCATGGAAATGAGTGGGGTTTTTTGGCTGCAGACCTTCCATGTTGGCAAGGGGGTTTGTATTAGAAGGTCAATAACAAAGATGACATTTAGGTTAGACTATTGCAATGTCCTCTGCACGGAGCTAAAAATTAAATTGATTGGCAAGTGCTGCAGAATATGGCTGCCCCCTAGGGAGCCTGATAGAGAACACACGACACCTATGTTTGGGGACCTGCACTGGTTACCTATGAGCTCCTGTGAGGTAGGTTTTAAGATGTTGGTTTTCAGTTATAAGGCCTGGATCCTCAGCATTCTAATGCCTGACTTCTAGGCACCTAGGAAATTACAGGAATAAGTCTGCGATCCAAAAAGCCTGACTTAGGTGCCTAAGCTCCTACAATGAATGGCGACTAAGAATGGGATCCACAAAAGGCAGCACGCTCGGTGTGGAAACTGCCCAACTGGCCAATGGGCGATGCGGACCACAAGGCTAAACCCCACCCCTCTCACAGAATTGGGTGCCTGTCTCTGCTTGCAATCCAGAGCTGGGAACCCCTCTATTGTAGTCAGGCAGCTTAGGGTGTATGTAGGTGTGTAAGTTCCACATTAGGTGCCACTGCAATCTACAAAAATCGTGCTGGGCTGCTGCCTAACCCTGTAGGTACCTAAACTCACTTGACACCTACATTTTCACTGTAAAAGGTCCCTAGGTGCCTAAATTTCTGCCTCTGGGCACATGTGCTGCAGCCTCATTCTAGGCATCTGGACACCTTATCTCCTGCCTGAGCCCCAGAGCGAGCTAGGTGGGTAAATGCCTATCTCACCCATGCTGCTCAAAAGCTGCCTAGCAGGGTCCCTGCCAGATTTTGAATGGAGGAGGAGGTGCCCACCTTATTACTTCATGGTTAGAGCACTCACCTGTGAGACCTACATTCAATTCCCTCCTCAGGAAGAGTGCCATTTTGGGCCACCTTTTCATCTGGCATCTCACTGCAGGACTGGGAGAGGAGGAGAATGCCTGGTCTGGGAGTTGTGCTCTGCTATTTTTGTGGGAGGAGGAGATATTCTCTTTTGGGTGAGAGAGTGGGATAATATAGGGCATAATTCAACACCCACTGAAGTCCATGGGAAAAATTCCTTTTCCAATTTAATGGACATAGGATCAGGGATATAGTCGGAGTTGCTGCCTGAGTGGCAAGAGCACAACGTTGGGGGGAAGATGAAGACAAGCTCACTTAAATTGGCCAGTATTCGTTTGACTTTTTTTTTTCTTTTTCTTTTTCTTTTTTTGGTGTTGAGGAGGCCAGTGGATTTTATTTCTGTGGTGGTGAGAGTAGTAAACAAGGTGCCACTGACAGAACTTCCTGGCACATCATCTGTTAGTCGCCCACAAGTTTAGCATCCTATCAATTTCATTTCAGTATTTCCATTGTGCCCATAGTTGGAATAAAGATTTAGAGAAGCCAGTGTAGCCTTTTCTTAGTTTTGTTTCTATGAGGCATTAGTGTCACAAGGTTTAACCCTATCTGATTATACACAGTCTGTGTATTGTATATATCAATTCCAGAGAATTATCTGCTCAGGCTCAAAAGTACCATTCAAGATGTCCTCAGGACTAGCTTGAACTTTAATCCATGTTAATTTTAATAGAACTGGATGAAGTATACAGTTGCATTTGATTGGCTTCACCATGCTGAATGCAATGGATGAATCTGTACCGAACAGAAAGTATTCCCATGAGATTTTCAAGGGAAAATATTAAGAAAATTCAGCTTTTAAGTGTGATATTTTGGGCACATCCAACAAGAATTGATTTCTTCATCTCTTTGTGAGCTAGGAGATATCACATAGTATAAGAATTCTTTGCCACCAAAAGTTTATTTCTGTTATGACTGAATAATTTAAGGATCGAATTCCTCTCCTAAGAGAAAACTGAGGATATCTGAAGCTTTCCTCTTGAAACTTGGGGAGGTCTAGGAATTCTCATAGCATCATAAGGTAAAAAGAAATTTCCAGTATAATTCTCACTTTATAAACCTTTCTGTGTTCCAAACCCAGTACCTCAAATCTATATGACTGTCAAAGACATCAGAAGGGAGATCATAAATATTTTTCAAATGTAACCTATGGTTCTCCCCTGAATACTTAGGAAAAATGTAACATTTTCAGGATGTTTTACCACACAACATTCTCAGGATTTTTTTCTTGCTTTCTTAATGGAACACGAATCCTTTAAGTCTCAGGGCCAGATCATCAGCAAGTATATATCAATATAGCTCCTATGAAGTTGAGATTTGCTGATCTACATCAGCTGAGGGTCTGCTCATTGGTGACTCACTCAGTGAGTTCAACTCATTCCCTTTTTAAACAGCACTCTCACTTTTCCTCATTGTTTTCTATCTGGGTTATTACAGAGCAGATCCTCAGCTCGTGTAAATTGTGCTCCATTGACTTCAGTTAAACTATAGGCCAATTTATGCCAGCTAGGGTGACCAGACAGCAAGTGTGAAAAATCGGGACAGGGGGTGGGGGGTAATAGGAGCCTATATAAGAATAAGACCCACAAATAGGGACTGTCCCTATAAAATTGGGACATCTGGTCATCCTAATGCCAGCTGAAGATCTGCCCCTATGTTTCTGGTTTTACTTAGCAAACAATCCAGGGAAACCTGCACAAGAGGCAACCCATATTAGACAATCAGCAAATAGTGCCCTCTTAGGAGGCCACTTTAGGGGCCCTAAAGGTACTGAATACAATTATGCTTCACCTTATAAGCAGACCATCTCAGTTAATTAGCTTTTATACATGCTGTACACTCTCTCCCAAACTCGGACTGCATCTGTGCAGTATTTGCCTCATCTGGCTTGTTAATAATTTATTATTTGAATTACACTAGCACCAAGGGTAGGTCTACACTTACTTCCTGGTTCGGCTGCAGGCAATCGATCTTCTGGGATCGATTTATCGCGTCTTGTCTAGACGTGATAAATCGATCCCAGATCGATCCCGGAAGTGCTCGCCGTCGACGCCGGTACTCCAGCTCGGCGAGAGGAGTACGCGGCATCAACGGGGGAGCCTGCCTGCCGCGTCTGGACCCGCGGTAAGTTCGGACTAAGGTACTTCGAATTCAGCTACGTTATTAACGTAGCTGAATTTGCGTACCTTAGTTTGAAGTGGGGGCTTAGTATGGACCAGGCCCAAGAGGGCCCAGTTGAGACTGGTGCCCCACTGTGTACAATATCTAGTAACAGGTATTTCCTGCCCTGAAGAAGAGCTTGTAATCTAAAATGTCCCCACAAACAGATGTATACTTACACTGTTTTCACTTTCTCTACCATGCTGGGATAACAACAACAACAGGGCTTGCATTTGGTTTGTTTACTGTCATTCAGTGTTATACTATGCTCCGGGACTACAAAAGGTTAAAATAAAAAAGGTATAACAGCATTACATATCCCAGTCACCATTCTACAGTGCACTTGCAGCAAGCTTGGCTTCAGAGGACCCCACAAACTACAATGCATCTGAAAATATTGTGAGTAGATGCCAAGGAGCAAGAAGGAAATCAAATAGACCACTTGAAGTACATACCACTTAACTTAGCACTTGGTATTATTTACCTACATTGCTAATATACTTGCGTGGGTGTATATAATGTATAAATTGTTAACTCAGAAGTGAAGTCTATAATTACATCAAGGTATTTCAGCACAGCGGTTTAAAACATTTTGAAAGTTTGCATTTGTCAGAAGGTGTACAAAGAGGTGTCTGAGATAGACTAGGAAGTAACTATGGCATTGCAAGTACCACTGCAGTAACTCTTGGCAGATATTGACTTTATGGGTGGCCATTATAATATCCTCTGGGAGCAAAGCCTGGGTGAAGCACAACAAGATATGAGTCCTAAGATAGTTGAAATAAACTCATTTATGTACATGTAGGTATATATGATTACATACTGGAGATGAATATAGTGGAATAACTTAGTTTCCCTATTTGTAGATAGCACTACAAAAATTCTGCACCCTATATTCTTAAATTCTTGGCTAATACAAAGTATACATTTTCTTATCTATCTATAACTAAGTGTACTCACATCATAGTATTGTTATGGCATGAGTCACCATGTGGTACTGTTGAACATAGTCTTAAAAGTTATTTTTCTTAGCACATGAACACTGTTCAGTCTTTGAAGAAATTTTTGTAATGTTCATTTTGGGCGGGGGGGAGCTGTGGCAGCAGCAAGAAAATTTGCTTTTTGACTTAAATTCCTAATCAGAGTCCATTCTGAAGGCAAAGTAGCTTCCAGGGAACTGCAGCGGTATTTTAGCTGAGATTCCCGGAAGAGGGGGATTGCCTGTGGGCTATTTGTGACACACCAGTTCAAGGACTAGTGTTTATAGTGCAATATAAACAAAGTGCACAAATAATATATCTAGATTCTATGTCACTGATGTCCCCTCTAAAAGGAATCTGACTTGCAAGGACTCAACACCTATTGTGACATGGCAGAGGGGTAACAATATGCATTTGATTCACATTCTCTTTATCCCAGTCCCAACCAACATTTATCATACTTCAAAGCCAAACCAATGATGCTATGCTTATTTCTGGAGCAGTGTGTGCTCTATTTAATTAAAAAGTCATTGGCCTGTGATACACCATTTGGGTTTGTGCCTGCAATTGTTTTAAGAAGAAAACCTTACTTAACAGATGAAAGAATGAGATCAGAGATTTAATATTAAGGAGATCTTTGATCTTCCTCTTCCAATCAGGCTTTGCTGGTTTTTTTTTTTAGATATGCTCTAGTTCAAAAGGAATCATTTTGGAGAAGTTCTATAGCCTGTGTTTATATGGGAAATTAGACTAGACAATCATAATGGGCCCTTCTGGCCCTGGAATCTACAAAGGGAACAGCATTATTGTCCAGACACTATGGAAGAGATTTAAAACAAAAAACCTCTACAATTCTGAAATTAACTGGGAGGCAGAAATGCTAGGTTACCTTAATTAAGGGAAATGGTTCAAATTACCTCTCTGGCGAATGTGTCAGTAACATGAGGTAGAAAACAGAGGATCAAATTCCTAGAAGTGCTGTTAATTGATGCCAGCACTATTTTCACTTTTAGAAGTCAATCCTCTTATGTATATGGTTGCCTGCAATAGCAGGGGGCTGGCCTCAATAACCCAGAATGTCCCTTCCAGTCCTGTGTCCCTCTGTTTTGTACATGTAATCCCCATTGACGTTAAAGAGAGTAGATGTGTGCAAAAAGGAGAGAACAGGCTGGTTGTTCATTAAGATGGTTAACGTGATATTTATAGTCTTAAAACTATGTGAGTAACATCCAGTGTTAAAACTTGAAACTTCGAAATTCATTTGGAGGCTTTATAGCAAGACCAGGTCTGCCTGGTTCTATTTTGGACTCTGCCACTGACTAACAATTTGAATGAGGGCAACCACACTGGCCCCAATTCAGCATACCACCCCTATGTAGAAAAACTTTAAACCTATTAAAATCAATGGGATTTAAGCATGTGCTTAGTTCTGCAAGCACGTGGGCTTCTGTGCCTTGGTATACTCAGTTGTAAAATAGGTTTTAATAATACCCATCTCAGTGGGTAGTTGATGCTCACAAGACTGATTAACTAAATTTTGTAAACTGTCTTTCCCTACCCACTTGGAGGTGGCTGGATGCATAGGGAACATACAGACTGAGTAATCAAAGCTACTTATATGACTCCATTGCTGTAGTGTCTGAGCACCTCAGAGTCTTTACAGTATTTTTCCTCACAACACTCCTGCGAGGTAGGGAAGTGCTCTTATTCCCATT